GTATTAAAAATACAGTTCTCATCTGGTCCTGAGAGTTCATTAGTAGACTTTTATGCATCTGATTACAACCTAGACACTATATGAATATTATACACCCTTTGAGTTTATTATATTGATTGTTGTTGTTGTCAAGTGCTGTCGAGTCGATTCTGACCCATAACGACCCTGTATGGGGTTTCCAAGGAGCAGCTGGTGAGCTTGAAACCACCGATCTTGCAGTTCAATCGACTTTGCAGTCTGACACTTTAGCCCACAGCACTACACCAGGACTCCCTTAAAACGAAATCAGAGACTCGGCTTGAGTCTATGTGTCTTCAACAAAATTGGATTATGATAAAGGTTTGGAAGATTCCTTTGCTGCTATGCTGAAGACGACTGACAAATCCCAAACCAGTGTGGATGATAAAGTATCAATTCAGTGCATATCAGCAACTGGGTGAACATCTCTGAGGTTATGCAAATGCTTAACACTCTCACTGTTACCCAGAAGGGAGGTAGGTCAAACCACGAAATCTACTACTGAAACACCAGTCACTGAAAGCCCTATGCAGCACAGTTGTACTCTGACACACACGGGGTGGCCATGAGTCAGATTCGACTTCATGGCAAACTGGTCTGTTTTGTGTTTTTTTGAGACCTGGCCTCTGAACTCTATGTCTGCTCAGGTCTTCAAGCAGGGCTGGGGCACTGGCTTTGCTGGGAGACAACAATGAATAGAACTCTTCCAAAGGAGATCAGACAAACCAGGACCCACAATTAAAAGCTTGGAGCCCAGATTCACGGCTCATACAACAGAACAACTGTTAGGAAACCAAGTCAATTTGTAAAGGACTCTGTGCTGATTATGGACTTCAAAAAGAACCAGACCACCCCTTTCAGTAAGGCAGGCGGTTTGAAGTGAATTTGTTCAGATAGTGGTGGAAATGGGTCTTACTGGTTCATGATTTGTATATCTACCCTCTGACCTCAGTACCCTGTAAGATGGCTATCTAATTCTGAAGTTCCTCTCTGAAGCCACCAGGTTAAAGACCTTTCACCTCATACGTTAACAAAGTCATCCCTGCCTTACCCAACGTTCAGGGGAAACTTTTTTAGAATCGATAACTTTCCATTTCCTCCACAGTGATTGCTTCCATTTTATTTTTTAATGGTCTCTAAACACTTGATAGGCAAGGAGACACGAGGTGAAACAAGTTAGTTGGCAATTTCGTAGTGGTTTTAAGTAACTCTCTGGCAAGAAAAACAATAGTTAAAATGTTGTTTTAGTGTTTATTCATTTCATCCCTCTTCCCTATTATAAAAAGATATAGAGAGGCAGTTGGCAGTGATCACCGTTTCTTCAGATAAAATCGGCCTGGGAGGCAAAGAACTACCAGGGAACACAGACGGCTTGAGACGGGGCTTCACTCAAGCGGTTTTTGTTGTTAGCTGCAGTGGAGTTGGCCCTTGATGGTGCACAAGCGAACTGAACACCGCTGTGGCTTGTTACAGCCCTGAGATGAGTTGAAGATTGAACTGCTGGAATCCATAGGGTTCTCACTGCCTGCATTTCAGATTGCTAGGCCATTCTTCTAGTCTGTCTTAGTCTGGAAGCTCTGCTGAAACCTGGTCAACACCATAGCAATATGGTGGCTGCACCTGACCAGGCATCGAACCCCTATCTCCCACATGGAAGGTGAGAATTCTACCATCTTGCAGTAGCGGAAGAACATGATCTCTGAAGGCATCTTTTAGAACTTAGCAAGATGTGTCTTGACTAGAGAGTTTCCAGAATTTAGGTGATTATTCTTCTGTTTGATTTTTTTTTTTTTTTTTTTTTTTGGCATATAAGGGTGCTTGAGTTTAGTGGTGGCAGGGACTGTCGTCAACCTGAGCATACCACAGGGAAACTTGGGGTTAAGTTCAGCTACAGAGAAGTTTGTTTTGCAGTTTAAATAGGCCAACAGTGACAGTGTCCTTTAAGGAAGCATACTAATTACAGTTGGCCTTTCTACTTCCAGCCGAGCTGGGTAGTGTCATGATGTTGAGGAAACATTGATATACACCACACGCCCCATTAATAAACGACTGTGGAGGCCAAAGCTGAGTGTGCTTCAATAAAGGAAATGGGAGAAGCAAGGAAACTGACCTGTTCACCTTACGCTAATGATTAACTTTTAAGTATTTAAAACCTCTGATTGCTTATACTGACTGTTTCCCTTCTTGTATGTCTGTGGGGAGGAATTTCACAGAATATTAACAAAAAACAAAGGAGAGAGGGAGGGGAGCCACCGTTTTTTACCGTGACTGGCTTGTGATACACAGCAAACCAAGGACTTTAAAAGCCATTATGCTTTTCTATTAATAAAAGGAGGAGGCGGCCCCTTTTTCCTGAGAGGGCTCCTCGCCCCGTGGACAATTACAGCCATGGTTTCCCGAACCCCCATTTTGTGGCCCGCCCACTGGAAACGCTCTTGTAAAGCTGCCAGCTCTGTGGCAGACAAAACTGACAAACTTTGCCTGTCTCGGTGATGCAGAATTGCGATGAAAATAAATAGGCAGGCTGCTGCCTGTGAGATTTTCTTCTCCTATAGTTTGCAAACACAGTCCATGTCCTAGATGTGCTGCGTTTAAACAAAGTATGTTACTCAGTTCCTTCAGTCGCGGGCTGGAATTGTCACCATTTGGCAATTACTGATGGGGAAGGAAATCGCACTCCCTGCTGCATATACATGTGGATGAAAGAAAAGAAATATTTATGGCTTATGCTTAGAGACCAGATGCCGCGTGGCATCTAGGACGTTCAGGCAAACTGAAAACCGAGAGGTGCCACAACGCGTGATTTTGGGGGTGGGGGGTGGGGGCAGGGGAGTGTGCATGAATCGACCAAATTTTTATTTCATTTCATACCTGATTGTATCGTGCTGTCTATGATTGTCGGCTTTTCTGTGGTCAGCACAGTGGTACCCCCTGAAAAACAAAAACAGTAACACACAAAATTGAGAAAAAGGAAGTATGGTAGAGAAATTGCAATGCAGACAGTTTGTAAGCTGTATACATCTTTTAGAAGCAAAGAGTGAAAAGTCTTTCTTTCTTCCAGCCACAGTAGCTATTTTACTTACATTTTACTCACCGCAAGTATCAAATACAAATCATTATTTTTAAAAAATTTATTTAACTTAACACATATCTTCTAAAGCAGCCAGGCCACATGGAGAGTTTGAGAATTTGTTCACTGATTCTTATTCTAAGCCTGGCATACAATGGCAACAGTGAAAAGCAAGGGTCTCTGAATGTCTTGGTGACTTGGACATTATACTTGACCTAGACCTCAAAACTTTAAATAGGGTTTCAAGGTTTCAGATGGCTGCCTTCAGGGCAGTTGCAAGTGTAGACCCCACAATCTATTTTTAAAACTGAACACTACAAGTCAATGACTGCAGCAGCTTCTCCTCTTTTTTTTTTTTTTTTAAGTTGCTGTAGTTGTTTATTTTTCCCAAGAACAAATATTCTGCCAAGTATGTGGTTTGGAGAAGCTGTAGAAGACAGCAGGAAAAGAGGAAGAGGTAAAATAGTTCTTCACTGTCCCTAGTAAACCTAAGATTTGAACAAATAGTAAGTTACGCACTGAAATTTCAATCAGTGTGGATAGCTTTTGAAATTCCCAAACAGGGAACAAGGTGGTAGCTGAATTAAGAATTAACTTTACCCACCATTGTTCTGTGTTAGCTCTTCCACTTTCCACTCCTATCATTATGTCATTGTTAAGTGCCATCGAGTTGGCTCTGACTCATAGTGACCGTGTATAGAGTGGTGCTGTAGGATAAGCAATGGACTGGTAACGGCAAGGTTGATAGTTCAAATCCACTAGCCACTCTTGGAAACTCTATACAGGATCTCTGAGCCAGAACTGACTCAATGACACACAACAACAAATAGGATTTCTGAGGAGCGACTGGTGGATTTGAACTGCCAACCATGCGGTTAGAAGTCCAAAACTTATCTTACAGCACCACACCAGGACTCCATACTTCTGTTTAAAAGCGATGTTCTCAAAGGTACCCAATCATAAGAATCACCTGAGCCTGAGCGCTTGCTGCAATTGCAGATTTCGATCCGTCTATTCCAAGGGGCTCTGGTGGCATAGTGGGTCATGTGTTGGACTGAGAACCGTGAGGAAAGTAATCTGCATCCGCCAGTTGGTCCATGGGCGAACTATGAGGATTTCTGCTCCCATAAAGATGTGGTGGTGGTGGCTGTGTGCCATGGAGTTGGTTCCGACTCACAGCGACCCTGTACAGGGTTTCCGAGGCTGTAAATCTTTACGGGAGCAGAACGCCTCATCTTTCTCCCACAGAAAAGTTGGTAGCTTTGAACTGCTGACCTTGCAGTTCGCAGCCCGATTTGTAACCACTACGCTACCATGGAAACCTTATACAGGGTTGCTATGAGTCTCAATCAACTCTACGGCATACAATCGTCATCACTATCCATTTATTCTACCACCAGACTGTCAGTTTGTTCTATTGTGTTGATGTTAAGGCTGTCCAGTTGGTGCCAATGCATAGTGAACCTGTGTAGGGTTTCCAAGGAGTGGCTAGTGGATTTGAACCACTGGTTATGTGATTAGTAATCCTGTCCAGTGCTTATCCTATAGTGCTACACTAGGACTTTTATTGTACTGTTGTTGTTGTTAATGCCATCAAGTTGGTTCTGAGTCATAGCGACCCTGTATAGGGTTTCTTAGGAGTGGCTGGTGAGCTTGAACCACAGACCTTGTGGTTCAAACTGACCTTGCAGTCCAGTGCATTAATCTACAGCACCACACCAGGACTCCTATTGTACTGTTGTTGTTGTTGTTACGTGCCGTGGAGTTGGTTCCGACTCATAGCTACCCTGTACATGGTTTCCGAGGCTGTAAATCTTTACAGGAGCAGAAAGCCTCATTGTTCTCCCACAGAACAGCTGGTAGTTTCGAACTGCTGACCTTGAGGTTCACAGCCCGATTCGTAACCACTATGCTACCAGAGTTCTTTCCTACTGCGCTGTAGTGACTTCTATATTGCTATGATACTGGTAGCTATGCCACTAGTATTTGAAACACCAGCAGGTCGTCCATGGTTGACACGTTTTAGAGGAGCTTCTAGACTACTACTGGCGAGGAAGGCCTGCTGATTTATCTCTGAAAATGAGCCAATAACACAACCTTACGGATCACAAAAGAACAGTGTTTCTTAGAACACTTCATCCGGAGGTAGCCTCCACCAATTGTTGGAGGAAATCATGTCTGATGACACAGAGGACCAATAAGGGTGTAGGAGACCCTCAGTAAGATGGATTGGCAGAGTTGCCATACAGATGGACTGAACATGCCGCCGATAGTGAGGATGATGCAGGACTGAACAAATGTTTTGCTCTGTTGTGTGTAAGAGAGCCACGAATCCGAGCTGACGGGATGCTATCTCTCTGTCTAGCTCTCTATCTAGCTACTTGTCTTCATAAGACCTAATCAAGAGGCAGCATTCCTATGAGTGAGGCCTTGAAATCTAGATCTGAAAGCTTTCCGCTGAGTTTTATAATCTGCTAAGTTTGGGAAATACTGATTCGATGCTTATTACTTAGGTGCTTGAAGGAATCCTGGTAGCATAGTGGATTATGAGCTGGGCTGCTAACTACAAGGTTGGTAGTTCGAATCTACCAGTCACTCCATGGGAGAAAGACGAAGCTTTCTGCTTCCGTAAAGATTTACAGCCTTGGAAACCCTATACAGGGTCACTGTGAGTCAGCACTAACACCACGGCGCACAGCTACCACCAGTTAAGTGCTTGAGAAGGTCAGTTCTCCTTTCTCCTTTGTGTGTCTATGATGCAGCTCATGGGCTAAGGGAATCTGTTATCCCAGGAGATAAAGTACTGAGCGACTCAGGGTAAGGAGGAGGGATGGGCCCAAGACTATAACAGACATTGAGGAAGTTGTTCTAAGGTCCTGTAATTGTACACCTTCCAATAGTATCGTTTGATAAAGATCTGCGATGGTGTTTATCCTGGCCAAATCCTAGTCTAATGCTTGCAAGTCCCACAGACAAGAAATCATGCTACATATCCAGATCCCAAATGAGAAAGCTGTAAAACTCATGCCCTTGGAACAGTCTTAGGATTTCTGAGCTCATCAGCTACAGCATCAAGTCATGTTCCACTCACACTCCCAGTGAATGTGCTGGATGAGTGACCACATATGTGCCTGGCCTCAATGAGGCCGGCACTAAAAAAATGAAGGAATTATATATATTACGGGTTAAGAAGGTGGATCTATAATGGCAGAATTGGAGGGAGTCCAGAATACATTAGCATTCTGTTCCCAGTGGCCTTATAGGAGAAAGTCTCAAGGTGAAAATGGACTTTTTAAAACCGATATGCATTATCAGTTTTTGCTAGAGGTTGGGAGCCAAAGTCTGCTGTTGGGCACACACAGCTCCAAAGTGAAATTCAGCCTCCTGGTGCCTTTGAAACCAATTGTATTATCCAATGACTTCAAAGGTATTTGCAAATGAGTCACTTCAGGGGTGAATTTTCACCTTGGCAAGCAAATGTAGGCACGCACAATCTTTCCTAATTTCCATGCATTTGGTGCAGTTCACCGGGAATTCAGAGTTGTTCTTTGTAAGTAATGAACGTTTTGCTACAATACTTCTTCTCTTCTATGTACAAATAGGTCACCCCAGGAGGAGAAATTAAAGCAACACCATCTGTGTTAAAGAACTAAAAACCACTGAAGAGAACACTGAACCCAATTTCCCTGGCCCCCCTCTTACCCAAACAGGGTTAAAGGGAGAATGCTGTTAGTTTAGTTCCATTTACAACTCTGACAATAAACCCTGTGATGGAATTAGCAGAGACAATGCAGTTCAGTGGGAGCAATGCTGTGGTTAGTGCCATGTCATAGTGACCCTGCATAGGGTTTCTGAGACGGTAAATGGAGCAGTTGATGGGCTTGAACTGCCAATCTTGGGATCCGAAGTCCAGTGCTTGTCATAGGAGACACCTGAGCTAGGCGAAGCTTTTGCTTCTTACCAGCATTTACACAAGAGGAACAAATCTTTTTTTCAGAGTAAAATAAACATAGCTTTATACAAGAAAATAATTTTTAAAGGACAAATTGACATTAATGTAACAAATGAATGAGAGCCATAAGAATGCCCTCTAAAATCATCTCTGCTTCATGGGGACAGTAGGTAGCATGATCAACACTGTTTTTATTGTTGTTAAGTGTTATCTAGCCCGGTCTGACTCATAGCCACCCTGTAGAGTAGCAGATGATGGGTCTGAACCGCCGACCTTGTGGTTAGCAGTCCAGTGCTTATTTTACAGGGCCACACCAGGAATTGTTGTTGGTGTTGTTAGGTGCCATCGAGTCGGTACCGACCCATAGCGACCTTATGCACAGCAGAACGAAACACTGCCGGATCCTGGGCCAACCTCACTACTGTTGCCACGCTTGAGTCCATCGATGCTACCCCTTGGCCAATCCACCTTCTTGGGGGTCTTCCTCTTTTTCTCTGACCAAACTTGATATCCTTCTCCAGAGACTGCTCCCTTCTGACAATATGTTTGCAGTATGAGAGACCCCAGGAATCGTATGGAACAATTCTACTCTGTTACACGGGGTCACTATGATCTGGAATCTACCCAGTGGCACATAAAAACAAACAACAACAACAAATTATTGAAACACATGTACTGGTCTGAGAAAATCAACTTGTTTTCTTGCTATGTGAAAGGAAGAAAGACCTTGTGATCTTCTTTCTAAAAATCAGCCACCGAAATCTCCATGAAACCCAGTTTTACTGTGAAACACATGGAGTCTCCATGGGTCGGAATCAATTAGACAATAACTGTTTTTTCCTTTTTTAATAAGTAAAAAAAAAAGAAAAAAAATTTAGAATGAATTTTTTTCTATCTCCCCAAGAAATGATTTTAAATGCTGTGGATGAAACCAAACTTTGTACTTTTACAGGGTCGTCAGTGTTTCCACTATAAACGACCCATTTTCTGTGGTTTGTAACTTATTGCCATATACAATTTGCTCCAGGCTAAAATACTTGCCCTATTTCATTCAAAGGCTTCAGACTCAATTGATTTAGTCATGAACTAACACAGAAATGAGAAGGTTGGTTGTTCTGACATGAGGAGTAAATCTGAGGCTTTGTTTCTAATCAATAGTAACTGACCACTTTAGGGTTTATGAAGAAAAAAACTCCTTGCACCCAAGTGTAATTGAAGAGTACAGTCTTTCCTTTCTATGAGGGATTTCACTAGGGATGTGTGAGGGGGTCTGGGATTTGCCACAGAGGGCTTACAGGAGACCCAGGAAAATTCCAGACTTTCTTCATTGGAATGGCTCTCTGTTTTTTTACAGAATGGGAGATGGGTGTTTTTTTTTTTTTTGCTTGAACCGATGTCTGACATAGAAAGTATTTCTGTATTAATTAAAATAATTTTTGTGACTTGTGGCTATTTGCATATGAGATTTGCTTTAAAAGGCCCACAGAAATGTGACATTTATTGGTCGTGTGAATATCAATAAGTATCCTAGAAATTTAGAGGGAGAAAGCTTTAGGAAGATGGGACTTAATGTAAACCCAGGGAATGGTGCTAAAGCTGTATTTTTGTTAAGAGCTGTTGTTGAGTAGGTTCTGACTCACAGAGAAGCCTGTAAAAGGTCTCTGAGGAGGTAAATCTTCAAGGGAGCAGAAAACCTCATTTTTCTCCCATGGCGAGGCTGTGCACTTGAACTCTAGTCTTGTGGTTCACAATACAATGCTTACTGTATGGAGACACCGAGCTACCATATATATCTCTCTCTAGGTATATATATTTAAAAACCCCTCTTCCATCTCAGAATGCTGAACTCTTGCTCTGTCAGAAGACAGGTTTTGAAGTAACTGAACATGTACTGTGGTGGTGGTGGTTAAGAACCTTGGAGTCAGTTCCGACTCATAGCGACCCTGCACAGGGTTTCTGAGGCTGTAAATCTTTACGGGAGGAGAAAGCCTCATCTTTCTCCCATGGAACAGCTGGTAGTTTCGAACTACTGACCTTGAAGTTAGCAGTCAGACTCATAACCACTACGCTACGGAAGCTCCTGAAAATGTACTGTAGGATGTACATTAATGCCTTAGCCAATAACATGGCACTGTTGTGACGTTACATGGTAAAGCCCTCAGTTTCTCCCATGGAAATGAATGATGTCAGCTCTTTGAGCTCCTTCTGGGTGAAAACACAGACTGGCATCAAAGGGCTCATATTTAATCCCTGAAGCTGGAGATTTTAAAATGAGAGTCAAACACTATATGAAACTGTATTTTGACCCAGGTAGCAGTCAAGGTCCCATGAAAGCTTTTCCTACAGAAAGGTGAAAATCCTCCTGCCTTGGCCAATTTCCAAGTGGTGTAATCCCATTTCCCAACTTGCCTATTATTTCCTCTGACATTCCAAGTGGAAGAGAAGGCTGTTTTCTAGTTTGCACAGTGTTAGAATGTTATGGAGTGATATTCTAGATTAAATAGCTGCTTGGCACACGCCAGCTCTGATGGATAGGCTAGCTGGTAGTGATATGAAGCAACAATTCATTCTGCCTTTGTAAATTCTAATGCACAATGACTTATAAAAGCCACACTTAAAATCTGCATTTCAAGTATAAGCCTGGTTTCATCCATTAAGTGCATAAAGAATCCACTTGAATAACTTTGACCTATTTCGAAACAGAAAACACACACTCTAGAGTGTGTGGTTGTATTTGAACAGTGCATGTGTTAGGGGAGGGGAGGAAGGCAGTGAGAGGAGGGAAGATGGGGATCAGTTTAGCAATTTTAATTAGTTGTCATGAAGTCAACTCTAACCTGTGGAGACCCATGTGTGTCAGAGTAGAACTGTGCTCAATAGAATTTCCAATGGCTGACTTTTCAGTAGTGGCTCACCAGGCCTATCTTCTGAGGCATGTCTGGGTGGATATGAGGCAACCACCTTTTGGTTAAACACACTGATAAACCCTTTGCATCACCCAGGGGCTTTGTTGTTGTTGCTGTGTGCTGTGGAGTTGGTTCCAACTCATAGCGACCCTTTACAGGGTCTCCGAGGCTATAAATCTTTATGGGAGCAGAAAGCCTCATCTTTCTCTGGCGGAAGAGCTGGTAGTTTTGAACTGCTGACCCTGAGGTTCACAGCCCGATTCATAACCACTACACTACCAAAGCTCCTTACCCAGGGGCTTTGTTGTTGTTGTTATGTGCCACCGAGTCGGTTCCGACCCATAGCGACCCTGTGTAGGGTTTCTGAGGAGCGGCTGGTGAGCTTGAACCGCCAACCTTGTAGTTCAAACGGCTTTGCAGTCTGGCGCATTAACCCACAGCGCCACACCCAGGGGCTTTAGCTATGGATAAATTCTTAGTCAATTAAGCTTTTGGTTTTTTTGCTCTGAAAATGAATTAGCATTTCAAATGGCTGTGGATATTATGAACAATTAGTTGACATGGTTGGCATGAGAGAAATGATGATGCATGTGTCCTTACTGTCAGAACCTTGATGGCCCACTGGCATGAGGAGTTAGACCAACACAAACAGCCATCAGCTGGCCCCCACTATGGCATGCACTACTGTGGCACAGCAATGGGATGAAGATGGGTTCTGCACCTGTGAGTTGGTAGTCATCACCTGTTCCGCTGTGGCAGTTCGCCTGGTCATCATCACATTCATCCACTGGGTTCCCATTGGGAGTGGTTGGTCCAGCTGTAGGTACTGAAACAAGAGCCAAGGGTTAGTATCACAGACCTCAGAAATGTCCTCTTAAGGTTTTGGCTGCTGAATCTGCTAATCCCTTTGTAGAAAACTCCAATCTGTGCTACGTAGGCCAGGGCCATGGTTTGCCTTGCTTTCAGGAGTGAAATATGCCTGGATTTTGCAGTATATATCAGGGAATGTTGTGTTTTGGTATTTGATCCATATCTGCTGAGCAGAGTTCGCTGCCTTACCAGTTTATGTATCATTCTCTATATAAACATTCTCTCTTACTTTTGGAAAGTTCTAGAATTCTCACAGGGTATTTTATTCTTGACCTTGGAGTTGAGAAGGAGTTCCTGAGTGGCACTAACCAAAAGACTGACAGTTTAAATCTACCCATGTCTCAAGACAGGACTAGCGATCTACCCTCAAAAGATCACATTCACTGAAAACTCTGTGAAACACACGGGGCCGCCAGGAATCAAAATTGACTTGACAACAGTTTTTTTGTTTTTTTTGATTTTGGAGTTGAGACCTTGATGATAGACATTTTTGCTTGGATCATCTTTCCTTTCATTTTCAAGGAGCTAGAAAACTCACTTGCCATGAATTCTTTTTTTTTTTTTTTTAGTTTTTGTGAATTGAGTGATAGTTTAAATGTGAGAACACTGGTTTTATACTCATTGTTTCATCGCAATGATTACAATCTCCTCCATGCATCATCATTCTACAGTTGTTGCTTATATTCTCTCTGGGTTTTTTGTTTATGTTTATTTGTTTGTTTTGTTTGGAGGGGGGGGTATACACAAAAGACACTCAGAAATATAAAATCATTTAAACAACCCAAGGGCATATTCTGCAAGCCTGACTCCTGGCCGCCAGCACACAGCCTTTCTCTTTCTATGAGTCTAGAGTCCTCAGCTGCTCTATTTCTCCATGTCCTCATCTCTGCCTCCATCTCTGGTGTCACTGCTTCTCTGGTTAGGATCCCACACTCTGATCATGCTCTTCTCTCTAGATGGCCCTAGGGTCCTCTGTTCCTGGACTATAAGATTAACTACTCTCCCCACCATGAATTCATTCATATCCTTAATATTTACTAAGTTTTAAAAAAGCATATCATTAATAGTACTATTTCCCCAAATGGGAGTTCCATTCGTTGTTCTATTTTTGAGTCCTTCCACTTCTCTTTTTCCCTTTAAGTAAGTTTCTCAACCCGTAATCCCTCTATGCAGAGCAGGTGTCTGCTGAGAAGAGTTGTTTCTGATATCCCCGGGTCGTTTTACCTTGACTCCCATAGGTCTGCATTCCACTGTTGGCAGGTATTCCCCTATCTTTAAATTTGTACTTGAAAGGTGGCCAACATTAATCAAAGATTGCTTTTGAAGTCCTTTAAATCTAGTGCAGTCTTTTTTTTTTTTTTTTTTCCCCCAGCCTGTTACTCATTTTTGCAATCTGTTTAATATTTTACAGTTTTCGGCATTGCATATCATTTTACAAGACTTGAGATAATGTACATTTCTCTTGCTGTTGGAGAACCAGACAAAATGCCGGGAGGTGGGGGTGGGAGGGGATGGGGGTGGAAGTGGGAAGGAGCTTGTTATTTTACAGTTTCTGGCCAGTAGGAATTTTCTGGTTACTGTCATTTTCTCAGTAAACATCTGACACTGGTTGTTACTGTGATTAAGTAAAGAGCAGTTATGACAAATGTAGAAATGTATGTAAGTTTCAACTTCCTCAATTGCCCAAGTACACACACCAATAATAACTAGGAGATTACCAAGGCCAGATAGTGTACACAGCATTTCGGCATGCAAGTCAGACTTCATAAAATATAGAATGTGTATGCTAGGCTCTACTCAGTGATGTAGCTGAATCAGTCCAATTCTCTCTGGCAGCTCAGACATTTGCCTTGTCTAAACTGTCCTTCCTCTTGATAGTGCTCCTTTTTAAGTATTTTTAACAGTTGTGTCATGGCTTAGAATGGACTTGATGACAACTGGTTTGGTTTTAGTTTATCTGTCTTGCGTACTCTTCTACATTCTTAATGCTGCTTACAGAGTTCTGGTGTAGCATTGTAGGATAATATGCTGGCGGTTCAATCCCATCAGCCACTCCTCGGAAACCCTAGGCAGGGTTGCTCTGAGTCTGAACAGACTTGACTGTAGTTAACGCTGATGAGTAGAGTTGGCTGCCTTACCAGTTTATGTATCATTATCTGCATAAACATTCTCTCTTATATATGCAAAGCTCTTGAATTCTCAGGTTGTTTTATTCATGACTCTGGAGTTGAGAAGGAGTGCCTGAGTGGTACTAAACAAAAGGCTGTTTGTAAGAAAGGGTTGCTTCTTATGGACGTGACACTGAATGGTGCTTCGATTGAGCAGAAAAAATTAGGAAGTGCTTGAATGTGTTCTCCACTTTTGCTATTTGAATAGAGTTTATCTTCTATGGTTCTCTAAATGTTTCATAAATATAGTCCAGCTCAAAACAAGATGAAAGCTCATAAAGGCTGGCCTGTACCTTATCTTTCTGTATACATCTAGGTAACTCCAAGGGTCCTGTGTCACTGTCAGATAAGCGCTGGGCTGTTAACTGTAAAGTCAGCAGTTCAAACCGACCAGCTGCTGCACGGAAGAATGAAGCGGCTTTCTGCTCCCATAAAGATATACAGCCTTGAAAACTCTACACAGGGTTGCTGTTAAGTAGGGATTGACTAGATGGAAGTGAGTTTTTCTGGTTCTAGGTGCCTCCAGTAGACAAGGCTCAGAGGAATATTTATTCAAGCCCTATTAATTGATTGAAGGGAAGAGAAACACACTCCCTTTCACTAATTGTGATAAAAATCTTGACAATCTTTTCCCAGATGTTGGTTTTCCATATGACTCAGGGATAACTTCCTCACTTTTGCGAATCCTTGAAAACATCTGCAGGCAAATCATTTCACCACCAATTTCTAGCTTACTACAGAGTTTACCCTGGCAAACTGCCATTGGGCTCAGTCTTTTCAACCATTCATTTACCCTACCTCCTAAATCAGACTGTCTTTCCAGAACCTACACTTAAGACCTGCATCAGAGCAGCAGACTTTCTTTTCCAGATGCCCACATTTCTCCACAAATAGGATGAATGCGTCTACAGTTGGTTCCACCTGCCCATCCCTTCTTTTTCTTGGCATCCTTGCCAAAGCCCTGGCACGGGATCCTTCTTGGTCTCTGTTGATAATAGTTAGATAACCCAGAGGTCTGGGACATGATTACAAATATGGAAACAATGATAGAGTAAAGAATGGGATAATGGCCTGGTTTTAAACAAACACATAGAAAAGCAGCTATGAATTATTCAGCAGCGCGGTGATTTATAACCTAAGATGCTCTAGTGCATAAGGAAAGTTTTATGGCATTTAATGCGCTCAGGAATGTAATTATATTTGAGTAGCTCAAAACACAAATAATTTTGGAAACCACAAGAAGAAGGTGATATTAAAATGCATTCTTTAAAACAACTCTGAGCATATGCTCAATTGATTAACATCTGGGTACCAACCATAGTCATTCTCTCAGCTAACCTGTAGAAAGGTCTCAATGGAGATGGAAAAACTAAGGCAGATGGAAATGATAATGCATGGAATCAATAAATGGTCCAATAAGCATCCATCAAACTACTTTTTCAGGCAGACATCTTATTCAGTACACGTTAACAATGCAGAGAAGTGTGCAATCCTGAGGTCAGTGTGGCCACCGAATTTGTGCTCAATGCTACCTTCCACCTACAGCCTAAACTGATACACTCGTATCCTTAAACGGACCTGCCAGCAGTTTCACACACAGGAGCACAGGTAACATTTTATTTCTCTATGTTGTTGTTGTTGTTAAGTGCCTCAAGTCAGTTCCAACCCATAGCGACCCTGAACAGGGTTTCTGAGGCTGTAAATCTTTATGGGAGCAGAAAGCCTCATCTTTCTCCCGCGGAGCAGCTGGTAGTTTTGAACTACTGACCTTTCAGTTTGCAGCCCAATTCATAACCACTACACTACCAGAGCTCCTTTGTTTTTCTATAGCAGCCTAAAAAGATAATCATCCAAGATGTTCCCTTCATGTCTCAGCCCGTCCAAGGCTGCTTTCTGCTAGGATGTGATAGCAGTCAACACCGCACATGCAAATTTGCATCAAAAATAGATTTTGAAATCTTAAAAAAGAATGAGAGGGGGGTTAAAAAAAAGAATCCCTGAATCCAAGGGGAGTTATGCAAACACTGAAGAAAAGTGTGTGATGTTACAAGTCCTGATTCTTGGTGTGTGCTATAGAGAGACAGGGCCATCCAGAGAGAAAAGGTGGCAATTTCCAACAGCACCATCGGGGCATAAATGCTTGAACAAGGAAACCAAACAAACACATAAGTAAACTGGAGAACTAGAAGGGGCTCTGGAAACATAATTACCTTCCACTTCACAGCCCAGCAACTCCATCCTTAGCCCCAGTCCTCCATGAGTGGCTCTCTCGGGGTAGATCCTGATGAATCGTGTGGAAAGAGGTGGGAAAGTTCTCAGCTCCGGTGTGTCATAGTTGCTGTTGCCCTCAAAAGACTGTGGAGCATGAAAAATAACCAGTTATTAAGAAAGAAAGAAAAAAATAAGACCTCCTTTCAGCAGTTGCTTTTTCTGTCTTTTAAGTTTTTTAAGTTGTCCTCTTGGGACAAAGAAATAGGCCTCATTCCCCCACTTCTTAAGTGGCTGACATTTCTTTCATAAATGAGAAAGGAGATTAAAACAATAAGAGCACACACACAATTAAACCTTCTTGGAGAAGTGACAGATGTCATTTTTTCAGAAAACGTCTGCATATACAGAGGCTATCCCAGAAACTGAGGATCTAATGAGACACGTTTTAAAATGATGTGCTGATGTGTGACTTGGTGTGAAGACACACTTCTATCACTTCCACAAGGTGGAGGAAGAGAATGCAGGAAAAGCAGCTGTCTGTTTTCAGGGTTTATAATAGACACCGTAATTCCAATAGGCCCTCCAATTGCAGCCTCTTAACGGAGAGATACTACTTTGGCTAAACTGTGGTCCTCCAGTAGAGAAAGGAATGAAATTCCTGAAGTCCATGTAACTCAAGGAAAAGCAAACCAAAACGAACCAGTTGCTGCTAAATGGATTCCAACTCATGGCAACCTCATGAGTGTCAAAGTAGAACTATGTGACCTTTGAGACTTACAGATCATCGGCCATTCTTTCATGGTGCCTCTGGGTGGAATTGAACCATTGGTTACATAACCATTTGTACCACCCAGGCAGCCTTAATCTGGCAGAGTCTAACCCACTAAAATGGTTATTTACATCAGAAGCCAAGACACCTGTAGACATTTGTAAATAAAAGACGTTCTGTCTCAAGAAAGTAACAAGTATCTTCCCTCTCTGCTTTGAGACTGGATGAATCTGCACCTCTTTTGAAGTATGCGTCTAATTTGAAGTCCCCATGGCATTTTAAGAAGCTAGGCCACCTATTGGCTTGCCACTGCTAGATTATCTTATTTCCCTTTTGGACATTGACAAGAAAGTAAAAATTGTCTAGTGGAATCTTGGAAAAGTGAAGCAGTGGCTAAGTCTGTTGTCTTTTTCGTGAATTGGATAAGCCTCCTTGTATTCTTTTCTCCCAACACTGTTTGTAATCTCATACAAAATAGGAGGGGAGGAGAGTTAGAAAAAGAAAATGATTTCATCATTGCTGTTGTTAGGTGCTATCGAGTCTGCACTGATGCATAGCAGCCCTATGCACAACAGAAAGAAACACTGCCTGGTCCTACACCAACCTCACAATCATTGCTACAACTAAGTCCATTACTGCCACTACTGTGCCAAGCCATCTTGATGGGGGGGTCTTCCTCTTTTTCACCGACCCTCCACGTTACCAAACAGGATGTCCTTCTAGGATTTTAAGAATCATGTATGTCTTCCAACACAGATCTGATAGTTCTTTTGACGGTCCATGGTACTTTTAATAATTCTTCTCCATCACCATAATTCAAATGCATCCATTAGTCTTCCTTGTTCACTGTTCAACTTTTACACACATATGAGGTTACTAAAAATACCATGGCTTAGATCAGATGCACCTTAATTGTCACACTCACATCTTTGCTCTTCAACACTTTAAAGAGGTCTTCTGCAGCAAATTTGCCTAATGAAATACTGCTTTTGATTTCCTGACTGCTCCTTCCATGAGTGTTAATGGTTGATCTGAGCAAAATGTAGTCTTTGACAAATTCAATCTTTTCTCCATTTATGTGGATGTTGTTTACTGGTCCAGTGGTGAGGATTTTTGTTTTCAGAAGAAGTTGGTAGAATTCTTCAATTTCATCATCACTGGCTTTAATGGTTTAGGGGGTAAATTTGAATAAAAGTGATATTAACTGGTCTTCCCTGTGCTAATGCCATGTGCCATGGAGTCGGTTCTGACTCACAGCAACCCTGTACAGGGTTTTGGAGCCTGTAAATCTTTACGGGAGCAGAAAGTCTTCTCTTTTTCCCACGGAACAGCTGGTAGTTTCGAACTGCTGACCTTGTGGCTCGCAGCCTGATTCGTAACCACTACGCTACCAGAGCTCCTTGGTCTTTCCCTGTAGCTTCATGGATATTACCCTATCACAGACAACGTGGTTCTATAAATTGTCAGGGTTTTCCCAAATTCTAACAAGTTCACCAACAGCCATTTCTAACCAGTTAATTAGGTGCCATTGAGTCCATTCCCACTCACGGAGACTCTGT